TCTCTCCTCGTATACTGTTATGCAGCAATGTATACACGCATATGGCAGCAGCTGCAGGACAATGCCAGAGGAGTCGAGGTAACGCCGCTTGGAGCGCGAGTAACTTGTACATGAATGACTCACTCGGCCCATTACTCTCCGTCTGGACGGACATACATATACATGTAAGAGGCGACGATGTACCTATATGTATATTCTGTCAAGAGGGGACAAAAATGTGACTTTTTTTCTCTCGTCTCACAGGCGTTTTCGCACCCTCACGACTGTACCCGACTATTTTCTCTATAGTTTCCACTGCTGTTTGATCAATCATCCTTCAACTACAACTGTACGCTCAAAGAGGAAAAAAAAGCTCCAGAGAACAAAACGATATTTAAAAAGAAGAGCTTTCGAGAAATAAAGAACAAAAGATTGCGTGATGAATCCGTGTGGGATCCCTCTAAGAGAAAGGAAAAAAAAAAAAAAAGGAATACGCCCTCCGATGACACATCCTTCCTCAGCTGGCAGTCCTTCTCGTGCAATCAAGCAAATGAAGAAGCGCTTCTCTCACCCCCCTAATGGACACAAAAAGAGGCACGCGCGTGTGCGCCCCTTTTTTTTCGATAAAAATCCACCAAGCCCGTGTATATACAAGCATTATACGCAAACAGCCCGCCCCGCTGTGCATATAACACGACGTAGGTACAGTTCGATATCGAACTATTACCATCACCGGCACAACTGTATGTACATCACACGATAGTCGTGCACGCCCGGGACGACCGACGCTTCTTCTTTCTCTCCTTCGTACCTTTTTTTTTTTTTTGCCGACGTGCCCCTCCGGATGCACGTAATACTAGCCTGGATGCGCTCAATAAGGCCGCCGAGAACTTCCGGAGTGTACAGGATAAATGTAAGTATACGGTGGCCGTCCCCGGTCAATGCTGCGGTCGACGGACGTTGCGCGTGACACTAAGTAAGTGGTGTGTGTGTATATGCAAAGTATTCGCCTCCGTCTCTGCGGCATGGGAAGAAACTTGTTGAGGCTTCGCTAAGATCTTTCGATTTTTCTTGGATCCTTTACCCTTCGTTCCTTTTCGTTGTTTATGGTGAAAAATATTGCAATTACTTATACCTAATAAATAAATTAAATTAAATGAAAATCACCCGATGCTCATTTCAAGGGTAAAACGGACGACGATGACCAATGGAATTTCACCCCAGGCGCGAGTCGGCGATTCAATGGTAATTTGACGGTACACGAAAAGCCGAGAAAGAATCGAAACTCGCAACAAATGATCGGTCGTCCAATTAGTTCTGGAGAAAGAAAAAGGTCTGTGTACATTCGCCCGGTGTTTGCTTGGTGCATGTACATAGAGCCGGAAGTTGAGGAAAAAAAAAAAAAAATTCGAATTTATTCGTTTCGTACGAGTGAACGTAAGTACGGCGTATACCAGCAGAGATAGAGAGCACATTATACTCGGTATAAGGAGCGCGTTGAGGTGTTTAGATTTAATTTTTTTTTTCTTCCTGGAAAATAAATTGATTAGTAAGGAATATAGGAGAACTTTGCAGGGACTCCGGCAGAGTGCTCGGAGTGGGTCATTCAAGTTCGTATACATAACGCAACATTGCACGAAAATCGTCTTTGCGATGGTTTCGACCTCGCGACCGGTGGAACAATCAGGCAAATGCAAATGCAAATACAAGTGTAAAACATCAATAAAATGCATATCACGGGGTTAAAAAAAAAAGTTTACAAGTTTGGCAGTGGTCGGGAAATAAAATCAAAAAAGTTAAAACCACTTCAATACGTATCAAAATCATACATCTAATGATATGACGGATAAATGACTGCAGTGCGAAAAAAACCTTTTAGGAAAAAAAAAAAAAAATTACTCGAAAGTCAAGTTCCATTGATAATGACAATAATAATTATTTAGCTCGATAACACGCGCGCCGGAAATCCAAAATCATCGGATCGATAGCCGCAAAGTGCGGAAATGTTATCTCTATGTGTGTCTTGTCGTGAAATTTTTTTTTTTTCACCTGCCCAAAACAAAGAGAATCTTCAACAAACGTGTCGCGCAGCCGCGTTCTTGCTCTCTTTATTTTTTGTTTCGTACGTCAAATCGGAAGGTCAAAGTCGACACTCGGCCGAAAGAAAAAACAAAAAAAAATGTATCCCTGCTTTCTCGCTACCCCTTTTCTTTCTCGTACACCTGATACCAACCAATTTACGCTTTCGAGAAGAGAAGATTAATCATAGAGCAGTGCACCCCTGACCACCGCAATAACATTCTATTGTCATTTCCTTCCATTTTTTTTTTTTTTTTTTTTTTTTTTTTTTTTTCTATCTTCTATATATTACGAACTCGAACAACCGTCCGACATCTGTCGCTCGCGATAAAATTGAAGAGTCACGCGAGGAGAAGGACTTGGATAAACGATGACAAAATTACGCGTAAGAAAGTAAAAAAGAAATCCAATCCAAACTCGGTTAATTACGTCGCACCTCGTGAGGAGGTACCACCTTTATTTATACGCGTCGGAGAGAGCTATGGATATACACACACCTTGTACACTTACTGAGGGGTAGGGGGGGGGGGGTAAAAAAATATAAAACCTCTTACGCGTCAGTTTGATCGAATTTCGCAACGCGCGCGGCTCAGTTGAGGCTTATATATAGTATACTTGCATACATATATACCAGTTTGCAACGCTATAACGTGTATACGTTACACTCGCGCAACATCGGAGAGAGAAAAGAGAGCAGAGAGCGCCGAAACTCTGCGAAAACGAGAGCTAAGTATAAGTACCGAGCATCACCTCGAGACTTACTTTCACGGCGCGATTTTTATACATATATATAATTTTTTTTTTTTTTTCAAGCCAAACCTGCCCCACTATACGTATGTATGGGCCATTTACTTGTTACACGTATACACCATCAGAGGGGCAGCTCGCACCGACGAAGAAGCGTATAAATAGTATAAATATAAGAGCAAAAAAGAGAGCGCGTAATACAGTTTCGGCTTGTCCTCAAGGATGACGGCCGACTCGACTGGATCGGACTATACTCTCATCCCTCGTACGTATACTTACGTATTATAGTGTATCTCTTTTGCTTGTTCTCTGCTCCGCTATATATAT